GATTATTTATATACAAAATATTAAGCCAAGCATTCGTTGGGCATCAGTTGCCTTCAGATAGAGTAATTTCTAATTTTGAATATACAGGAAATCCATGAATATGTAATTTCTTTTCTTTCTTCTATCTGTTTCTCTCAATGATCTGCCGAATACTGCTCCTATCACCTCTTACCTTCGTTCTCTATCCACTAAGAATGAATATTAGAGTTACCTGGATTCTCTCACCCTAGGCACAAGTTCTGTTGGATGGGTATATCCACAAACAGAACATACCATCATTACCCAGCAATTCAATTACAGTACAAAACAAATAACCATTTAGTCCAACCGTCCAGAAATGAAGATCAACCTATAATAACTAATGCAAAATTGACTTTGACCATGAAAAGATCTCAAACCCTATATGTATCAAGACAAGTTAACGTTAATATAGTTGCTGTTTATCCAAAAACTAAGAGAACTATTACCAATGGTTGAGCCCTTGATTCCGATCATCGCCATGGAAGGCAGACCAACAAATAAAATTCAATGAAAAAGAAGAAAAAATTATTATTACTCACCATTTTCCACATGAAGAGTAGATCGGCATCTCTCTGATTGATCACCCCCATTGGCATTCTTAGGCGAAGGGCATTCTCAGTAACATTGGCAATGGCAGGTTCAAAGCCCTGGTAAAGGGACAGCACATCAGATTTAACACTTTTGTCACCATACTCCATCACATGAGATCCTGTGTTATATGTGTCATGATTGGATGTCCTCATCTTCACCTGAACACCTCACAGAAAAATAACACTCCCAATTAGAACCAAAGAGTAGGTTAACAGGATCTATGATTCTATGGTAAAGGCTGGTAGTAGATACCTCCTCAAACTGTTTCCCAACTGTCTCCTCCTTCAGATTGTGGGTCTCACTGCAAGAAGCATAATTGAATAGTAGAACTAAAAAGACACCTAAAATCTGCTCACTGTTATTCATGAACATCACTGAAAGCTACTTCGTAAGAACTTCCGTTGAATAGATATTATCAGCATAAGATAAATCAGTGAACAAATTATGCAGGGTGAACAATAATCAAGTCATCCTACATTATGCATGAAGAATGAAAGAACTTGATGCTCTGTCAAGATAAATTGTTGTTGATTCTTATCAATCAAATATCAGCTCAAATTAGATGGATAAGAAGATCCTAAACTCCTCAGTAATTTAAAAAAAAAGGATACTTCTGGAGAGTTTCTCCTGTAAGAAAACATTTGGAATTTGAAGCAAACTATAATTTAGTTTTTAGGCCTAAATGCAAACCTGTCTTCCATCCATGCAACACTGTACAAATCGCCAAGGCAGGTTGTAAATTCACGAGGCGGAGGAGGATCCATTCCAGGACAATATGTACCCCAACTGCTTTCCACAGCGTTGGATGCAGTTGTCACATATATGTCGAGGTTTTCTGGCATTAAACCTTCAAAAATGCTGCCACTCTCACATGCTTCCACATAAATAACCTGTTGAAGTAACCACTTAGAACGCCTACGAATTCAGTGTACCACAATCATAGTGCTGAGATAGCATGGTCCTCTTACCATTTCTTTGTAACCATTGGATGCATGTTTCATTTTCAATACTTCAATGAAATCAGCAGCATACAGAAATGGCATGTTGGGCATTCCTAAATCACAACAGGTGTCAGCATACAAAGTCAATCTTGGAATCTGGTTCCCCAGCAAAGCACAAAAGAACAGGAAATTACCGAGCACCCCAGGGCCTCCATGGTCTGAGTAGTAAATGAAGATCCTGTCATCTGGTTTGCTGTCTATAACCTTTCCGCTTCCACCTTCTATAGCACTCCTATCACCCAAAAGCACAGCATATAGATTCTTTGCAGTGACTTGCTCTTTGGTGTAGTCCTGAAGACAACGGTTACTGTTTTAGCACACTGAATTTTGGAACAATAGCATGTATAACAATTAATCAAGGTCTTGGTTGGTACAGCGACAAATCAGATGATGTTATTTCTGGATCACCCTTATATTTTCTACTCCTTATCACAAGAGGGAGCAAGAAAGTCAAGCAAATTGATTGTCTGTCTAACCTGGAGATGTGAAGGCATATAGTTTGATATCCGAACAAACGTATCAGGTTTGATGAAAGAATTTGACATGAGCTCAAAACGTAACGCAGCATATGGAAGCCTGCCTCTATGACCCGATGCATTCATCTCCCGCAAGATCACAGGCTTTTTTTTTTTATAAAGAAAACTTTTTTGGCATCGGCTAAGACACTGCAGGTTCTTAGAAGTAGAAAATTTTGACATCTACACTACCATTGCAGAAGTACGGCATTGAATATGAGCAAAGCCCTGCCTGATCACTATAACTAAATTTTCCATTGCATACTTATGAGCTATGTAGGAAATTTGTTGTCTCCAAGGGCAAATAAAAATAAGCCAGACAGATTATAGTCCAGATAAAATAATACCCACCAGTACTTGTTTTCTTTTTTCAAAAAATTCAGAAAAAAAAAAGCTGAATGTAGTGCAACATATCTATTCAGGATACGAATCAATTTTCCCATTAGATTAATCCGTTACTGATCCATACATTGTTTCCAACATGAATCAAATTTTATGTTATTTGCTAAATGAAGCTACCTTGTAGTGCTCTGTGTTTCCGCAAAGGAGTTGCTAAGACTAAATCACTGCAAATATGACCACTTTATGTGACTTCCTAAATGCAGTTCTCATTTCCCCTATTCTGCCTACAATAAGCCAAGAGACCTTTGGCCATCTCTGCCACGGGAGAGAAGAGAGGGCCGAACAAGAAAGTCGATGAGCTCACGAGAAACTAAAGACAGATTAAGAATGACGAAAACAGAGGAGCCCCACTGGTGTGTATGTACCTTGGGGACGCCGGCGTAAACGTCTTGGCCCTGTGGATGGTTAATAATGACTCCCTGCCTCGGGTTAAGCGGGTTGTGAGCGATGTCGTCGTGCATCATCACCACTATGTTCTCCTCCTTCAGCCCACCTCTTCGCAACAACTGGTATGCGTGGCACACGTCCGCCTGCATTCCACACAGACACGCACACATCCTCATCGTCGTCGTCACCGCAGATAATGTGTTTGTTGAATTAACTCAACGAAACAGAACAAGGGCGTTCGCTTAATTACCTGGTGCCGGTAGTTCCCATAGCCGGAAGAGCCCGCCACAAGCAGCGCCCACTTGGTCCCCGTCTCCTCTTCCTCGTCCTGACGGCCGCCTTCTCCGGGCTCGGGGACGAGCCTACTCGACGGCAACCGGATGATCGGGTCCCAGCGGGCGGCCGCCCGCGTGAGGCTCGGCCTGGAGGCGGAGAGAGACATCTGAAGCAGAAGCATCACGGCGAAAGAGAAGAGGGCGCGCCTGGCGGCCGCGGGGGAGGAGCTCGTCGCCATGACACGCAGTGAGATCGAGGTCAAGTGGTGATGGGGAATAAGGAATTGGACGGACAGAATGGAAATCAGGAAAAGGAAGATGAGGAGGAGGGGAGGCAGCGGCCGCCGCCTGTCGCATCCTCCGAGGCAGCAAGTCGCAGCGCCATGCAGCAGAAGGAGAAGACACGTGGAAGTCGCGGCGGTTAAGTGGGTCCCGCTCACCGTCCAGAGGTTCCTTTCTCGCTCACCTTCATACTTTGCTCGTGCAGCTCCTCCGTCTCTTTGCTGGCGCCTGCAAGGAAGGGGCGGTGTCGAAGGAGGCGGTGGTCCGCACGGCGACCGCGCCGCGAGTTCCGAGGGAGGGGAAGCGCGGATGCTGTGATCATCAAGTAACTGGCGCACCTGAATTGTCTACCCACTCCTTTCGCCTACCCACTGTCCTATTTGCCGAGAAACGTGGGTCCTTCATGTGGGACCACTTCACAGCCAGGGTAAACACGCGGGCTCGATAGTTCACGATGACACGGAGAGGTCCTTTCGGTCCTCCCGGTTTGTATGTTTAATATGCCCGCATCAAACGGTCAATAAAGTTTATGCACAAATCTCAAAGCGTGAGAGGACGAGGACTCTACGAACGAATCTTAAAGCATGACCATGACTTGATTAAACTGGTAGCCGGCAGCGTTTGCGTGATTGGATTTATAAGACACGAATCATTGGACCAACATTTACATCGAGGACATATGCGGGAATCTTAATGTACAAAATGATTGACCAAACCATGTTAATGTTATCATGCTAATGACCAAACCTTTGTCACCAGCAACCTTTCTCGTAATGATAGTTGATAAGGGACATTCTGGACAGTCCTGTGACGTTACGATCAATGCCACGTACCACTATGCCAAGTCAACAAGAAGAATACCCTCGCACGTTAAACCAGATCCGCTCAGGAAAACTCAAGACGGCGCCATACGACGCTGTCCCACGCGTTCCGGGGCGACGCCGTCTCGCGCGCCCTGAAACAACATTGTCCCGCACGTCTCAAACGATGTAGCTCCACACGTCTCAGGACGACAACCACGCGAAGGTACCCTCTCACATCTCGAGAGCCGACCGTCATGTCAAACCCGCGTACGACCGACTCTCGTACAGTGGTATAAAATCCTTGGCCAAGCATCCGGTCAGAGGAGAGAAAAAGAGAAAAAAAAAGAAAAGGAGATCCCACAGACCACTGACTTAATCATCGGAGGGACCAGGGGAAAGATCCGACGAAGGTCTTTTCTTTTGCAGGAAATCGCGATCGTCTGAAACGAAAGCTCCGCTCATGCCCCTGACGTCAATCCTCAGGGCAATGATTGACCGGTCCCGAGGATCAGTTGAGACGTCCGAAGGTTTCCGACATCGCCCCCGTGGATCAAGCCATGCTAACTCACCGTCCACGGTGTATTAGTTCATCAAAAGTCATAATTTTTATAGTTTCTTGACACGACCCATCCCCAACTGGCGTCAAATCGGCTGGTCGCGACGTAAGTCGGTTTGAAAGAGCTGCCTCGTCCTCGGTCCCACCTTCGACAGCGTATCATAAGGAGCCGAGCATCCTCACGCATACCCCACCGTCTCCCCAAAATAAAGAACCCCCGAATCGTCGCGTGCACGTCAAAGGGTTCGGCTTCGTCCTCACTTCGAGTTCTCCTCTCTCCTCCCTCGGCGAAACCCTAGCCTTCCGCTCCGCCCGGCCGACACTCGCCCACCGGGAGCTACGGATTTGTCTCGCGAGTTCGCTCTGCGCGATCTTTCTTCTTTCTAGGGTTTTCGCCCTTGCTTTCTCCGAGTTAAACGGGTATTTTTCCACCGTTCTACAAGGCAATGATCCAGTTTTGATCTATTTTTCTTTGTATGTTTTTCTACTTTTCTTCTCATGGATCTGCGCTAGCTAGAAGATGCTACTGGTTACCGAATCTTGGAATTTTCTTTGCTGCAGCATCTTTTACTTTCAAGAATTTGATGTGTTGTAATTTTGGATGCGGTCGATTCTTTTTTCCCTTATAATTCTTCGTTATTTTTGTCTCTTCGGATGTCATATAGGCAGTATTTTAGTTGAACATCAGCAATTTAAATATGTGGTTCTTGATAATAAGGTCAGGTTGTTGAAGGTCATGCCTTGTTTGTTCGTTTAGATGTTTGGTTCTTGGGTCTAATTCGATATTGCATGTGAACTGATGCAGTTGATACAGGAGATTTGTTTTAATGGATAAAGATTCAAGTGCCGCAGCAGAATCGGCTCTTTCTTGTTCTCGTTGTGGCAAACCCGCTTATCTTCAGTATGTTCTTTAACATCATTTGCTGCAGTTACATACTTGATTGGTTACCAATAGCTTGAAGCTGAAATCATTAGGAGAAGGATTGGACATATTCTGATTACTGAATGATTCAATTATTATTTTCTGCTGTAACCTTTGGAAAATGAAATTACATTATTTTAGGTACATAATTTGCATGGCACATCATAGAATTTGCATCTATATCTGTAGATGCCTATACTACAGTTGGTCAATAGTTATCGACACAATGCATGAATATATTACAGCCCAGTGACGATGAGGAGATTTGTGGTCATTGCTGCAATGATTTTCTCAAGTCAGTTTAATTGAGCTAATATCTAATAATTTTCTTGAACGTAGTGAATATTTGTCCTTAAGCCTATTTAAATTAATCATGATCTGGTCAAGGCATACATGGAACATGAAATATTGTAATAAATATCTTTTATGCTTTATATTACATGAGAGGATTGTAATGATTTTTTTACTAGTCTGGTAGCTAGTTTTCATCCCATATTAATTCTCTAACCATGTCTTCTGGAGCTTATGCTTTCAAAGACTAATTAGTGAAACCCATTTAAACTCTTGAAAACATAATTTCAAAACTTTTAGTTGAATGATACATAAAAAAAGGAGATGGTTACATGAACTAAATGTGAACCATCAAACTTGGAATTAGAAACCAAAGCTGATTTTATTGTTGAAATCTGAATTGGGATAGAGATTTAATAATGGTTTAAAGGATTTAAAGTTGTACATTTGTTTTAATAAACTATTAGAATTTATGGTCTCAAGGAGGAAGAAAGGAGTAAAATGAAAGAGAGAGGGGTAAAAATGTCACTGATGATAAAAGGATTATTGAATTATACTTATTGTTATGGTTAAGAGCTCACAGGAGTGTTATAGAATATAGACTATGTTTTATGGCTTTAAGAATTGATACTTAAATTTGTATAATTGAGAACTTAATATGTAAATCTAGAGACTTTGGGGGCTTATTTAAAGAATCCATGTGATCCTGATATACATTCATATTGTTTCCTGGTTTCTGTTCCATCTATTTACATTTATATGTTTGTGTTCAGGTCGGTGTTATTCTTTACTTATATTATGTTTGTATAGAAATACTCTTTATTAATGCACTTCTTTATGATTTTTTGCAGATGCCCCAAATGTGCAGAGCTAAAGCTACCTCGAGAAGGTGCTGCATTCTGGTTTGTCGCATGTCCTGCTTTGGATTTTACCATCTGTAGACTAGCTTAAAATTATGTACAAAATATTTGGAGAGAATGATGCTCGAATATCTAATCCCACATCAAAATTGTTGAAATGTTACATATCATTCCATGTGCTGAAGTCTTCCCAGTATAGGAAGCTAATAGTTTGGTACTTCATGTGGTACTCCCAAGCACAACCAAGCCTGTGCATTGCATCTCGCAAGTTGGTCTTAGATCAATAAGTATTTGATACTTAAAGATGCCAATCGTTCCTAGTCTAATTGCTAAAACTTGAGTGCTTATACAAACTTCTGCCAGCCGACATATATAGTATAAGGTTATAGTTCTATGATATTTTGTTTGACTTATGCTGTGTTTAGTCTCTGCTATGCTTTTTCTTGCAAATTCATTGTATCATAAAATCATTGTTTGTGATCCAATTAGCCAATATACAAGGAAATCCGGAGGAAGTAGGAAGATGGATTTATTATGTTGATACAAACATGAGTTTCCAATGGAAAATTAAGTAGAGTACTGTGCAATAATCCATGGCCTGAACAAAAAAAAAAAGAAAAGAAAAACAGCCAGAGGGTAAACATATTCTCAAACTACCTGAAACAAGTGTGCATAGGACATATTGCATTTGATGCCACTTTGATTTAGAGATAGTTGTTGGCCTTTCATAGATCACCATGTGACATTGCAAATGAAGCCACATTAATGTAAAACCTCATGCCTAAAATTTAGTCTAGCCACTATGATCATATTCCTTGTTGCTACTTTTCCCTTTATTACTCTCTTTCTTTAGCTCTCTTATGCTTGGTTCCATTGCCAAAGCACCTTATTCGGCCCACCTTTTCTTGGGTAAAAGCTACCTGTCTCCATCGTCGCGACCTCTATTGCTATTGTTGCAAAGCTGTGATCTCTGGTTGTGCTTAGCCTTCTTTCAGTGACCACTCATGATGACTACATTGAGGAATGAGGACAAGGAGCTGTTTGCTTACCTTTGTGTGCAGTTGATTAATAGCCAAATGGTGATGACCCCAGCGGTGATTTACTGTGGTTGAGGTGAGATTCTCATCCTCTGTATACATCATCTCACCTTCAGATATGGAGCACCAACCACCTCCTCTCTTCTGGACTTTATTGAAGTTTAGGAGCTGTGCTAATGGAACTTACGTACATAATATGTGGATTGAGATTTTGATTGGTATGTTCCAATGGATGCCAAAGTAGATCGGAAAATGTCGTACATGCATGTCACACATGAGCATCCACTGGTGTATGTCAATACTGCCACACATGGGTGTTGGCATGTGACATGATAAATGTTGGCATAGGCATACCATGAGAATACATAGAATGGTATACAATGCCATTAAGAACATTCATGCAATGCCTTTGATGCCTGCACTTTACCGGTATACCTATTGTTAAAAGGTGAACTGGACTTGTCATTAGTTAAAATTGTTTGGAAAACCTTAACATGTTACACTTACTTTTTGGTTTCTGACATTTAGTTATTCAGTAAGCTTTGATGTCAGTTCTTGTAAGATAGACATCTACTTTTGGCCATAAACATTAAGATCCTATCGATGGATAAATGCAGATTCTATGATCTTTTTCTATAATATTTAATTCCTTCTCGCTTGTCTTTAACTCATTTAATATCTTGTAAGGTGTTTGTTTTAGGTATGCTTTTTCTTGTTAAGTTCAAAACAACTATCTGCTTGCAGCACGCAGGATTGCTTTAAAGCTTCTTGGAGCTCTCACAAGTCAGTGCACCTCAAATCAAAGTTAGCAAATGTTCAATCTGAACAAACTCAAGATGGTTGGCTATATTGCTTGAGGAAGGGCCAGACTCGAACATCTGAACTTCCCTATTTTGATTGGACGGGGTACAATTATCATAAGAATCATCATTTTACCTGTTGCTTGTCTTTCCTCGGAGAAAATATGCTCAACTTTGTATCCATGATCGTGAAAATGTTACACCTTTATGTAACGATGCAAAATAACAAGAGACAGGAAGTTTATATTAGCAAATAACTCATGAACTTTGATCAATATCTTCAAGTCAGTTGACATTATCTTCAAATCTTATATTCGAGGGATGGAAGGACCTTCAGATCATGTTTCATCAGCTTTGATAATTATTGGATGCAATGTTTTATTTTTATGTCAATTATTGTTTTTCTTTTCTGGTAGTTGAGCTACTTGTACCTCCTTAAGAGAACACAACATCCCTCTGCATTAATCACTTGACCTTGGATCAGTGAAGAAACAAGGTTGATGATGATTCGATCATCCTGCATCTACCAAATGATGACTACCATATAATTCACTCCTACAACTTTTGATGTTGCCTACTGAATGTGTAAACTATTTTAGCTCTGCATTGTTACATATTGTATTCATATCTTATTAACCAAGTGGTTGTGTTCCGGATAATGTTACATGAGATAACTAAGTTTTTAGTCATTTTGGGTCTCTCATCTAAGCAAGTCCTTGTAAGCTTAGCAATTTAGCCTTGGGGAAACTTGACTCAATAGACTAATTATACATGAAAAGATTACTAAAATAAAGTAATTGTATCACTATAAAGATTACAGATTGAAAGACATGGTTTTAGCTGAGTCCTGAATGAATCATCCTAATTTGAGCAGCTTCGACCTGTATTGATTAATAATGTTATTTCTGGTCATCTCCAGCTGTTTCTCATTTGAAAATAGTTGCACTTTGCACTTTGTAGTTTGGTCTTGACACAACTTGAGCTTACTACAATACTTTCTTTGGCTGTTTAGAATTTAAATGTTTTGATGGTGGTGCTATAAGCTCGTTGGTCTGGAGGTCAAATCATTAGAGCAGATTGACTGTGGTGATCAAATTGCATTTATCTAATTGATTTTATCGGTACTAACAACAGTTTCTATTATGTCAATTTTTATTCCTTAGTTTGAAATATGTTGGTTTTTGGAATCTACATACCAATAATTTTGGAATTTGAACGTTTTCTCATGTTTGTTAATAATGATTGTTTATGGAGCTTCACAAGTCCTTTTTTTTTGGCTAAACCTCAATATTTGCAATTTTTCTTGCAGAGCATTAAGGCCATACCCAATATCCCAGCGGCGTTTGGTACCGGAGGGACTTGAGAAACCTGATTGGGCTGTTGATGTGAGTCTAATCATTTCTCCTTGCATGTAGTTCACTACTTTCCACACCTCTTGTGGCATTTGGGGAAGTTTTGTGTGGTCATGATTTAAGATTAAAATCTTGGTCTGGTATGGATATCGGTCATCAGTTGGATTGATATGGTATTGGTATCAAGTTGTATTTTGTGTCAGTATCAGTTGGTGTAGGAGGGAATGAATGTCTGGAGAGGCAAGGATTCACATCCTGACGTAGACAAGCATGCATGAGCTGATGTCTCATGAGGCGACGGAGTGGGCATGTTGACGAGGCCATGATTGACTAGGGTGATGAAGATGGCGGAGTAGGCTTTTCTCTTACGGGAGGGGTGAGGGGAAAGAAAGTGTTGCGAATGTTGTTCGCATAGCGCGATGTAGATGTGCTGGTAGTAGCTGTGGTGTAGGCATTGGCGCTGCATGCAAGGGCTCATGTGGGAGGCCACAATTCGGTTGCAGGTGTGTGTGGTGTTGGCGGATTGGGCAGGGGTCACAATGAGGAAGAGAGCAGCAACCAACAGGAAAAATTGGGAAAAATGATGACAGAAGGTGGAAGAGGAATTATAAGATCGAGTCCCGGTATTGACTGTCAGGTGGTGAGCAACAGGGAAAATTAGAAATGATGATGATGAGATTTGGAGTTCCAATTTTGGGCGTCATACCAGGCAGTAAGCCCAGTATTGAATTGGACTGCCAAAATTGCTTGGTCCATGTACCCCTATTGCTTGGTATGGTAAAGGCCTGGTACCAAGCTAGACTAGCAAAATTACCAGGTCCTTGCATCGGTTGGTTATCAAACTGGTGAATATTAGTCCATATTGACCAGTATGGTTGAGAAGCCTGACTAGCAAAAGATTGCTGGGTCTACTGGTTGGCCATCAGACTGGTATATACTGGTCCATATATATGGACCAGCATGATTGAGATTTTATTCCTTTGTTAGAATATAAGATTGATTACATTTCCTTTCTAATTTCTTCCATTTTTATGCATTTTCATTTAGTTTTCACTTTTTTGGTGGTGTTTGAATGATTAAATGGGTGCTTTGACTTGCATGGCAATTCTGTGGGTGCGATTATTCGTATCAAATTACATAGACCAGAAGAAAGTGATCTGGAGTATGAATATGCATCTCAGGTTGCTTAGTGGGAAACCAACAATGTATGGTCAGAGTATCTTAATAAAATAATTTCTGGGATAGACTTAATTCATTCCTTGAGGCCTTGTTAATTTACAAGTGCTCTTAGGATGATTATAATTTAGAACACATGGTCTTGGTATTAATGGTTAGCAGGGCAGGACACATCTCTTTTTTAATCAAGTAGGTGCGGACCTACTTTATGTGGAACTTCTATGGTTTCTAGGTAACATGCAATTGAATTTGTACTTGAATTGGCTTTGGCAGCCATTCTTTTTTTTCTTAATACAAGGACATGCATGTAATGCATACAGCAGGAGAGGGAGAGAGGTACCAGGCAATGAAAATAGAGCAAAATGAGGCACCAGCTTGTTACTTCATAAAGTAAGTACTTGTTCTTGCATGTGGAGGTGATGTGAGACATTGTGAAACCTATTAGATGCTCAGTACTTGCTGGAATGTGTTTAGTCGATAAAGAGACTAGAGATAAAGTTAATTGTGTAAAAGTGATTTTATGTGGAGGTAGAAGTATCCTGCCTATAAGACAGTCATAACCTTATGCTACATGTTTCCTGGTCACAAGTTCTGTCTCTTCTGAGCCAACCACACTGACAGGAAAAAGTACTTATAGTTTGTTGGTTTCTTTGTGTTCTAGGTAATCAAAACAGAGCTACTGATTGTATATTCTGTTGTAAGCTATTTTTGGACATGGAAATGAAACAATGAATCCTAGTTAAGAAAGTAATTCAGGAGTTCATTGAATCTGGTTTTGGGACTTGAGATCGGCAGTTTAAAGGCACAATTCATATGTTTACATCAGTGAATGGGTTATACATTTTTTCATAATGTGTGGCATACCTTAATTTTCCTAATTATGTGATATGGTGGTCCTTGACTGTTACATTTTCGGTGAGATGAAAGTTGCCCGTCACAATTTTTATTGGGTTTCTGCTGATGAACAGACCGGTACAATATTGTTGGTGCAGTTGAAATTTTGAGCATGCTAAAATAAAGCAGAACAGCAATGTGAGAACAAGACAATTGAAAATATTTAAAAAACAGAAAGATGAATAGAGAAATGGGAGGGGAGAGCATGCAGATATATAGACCTTTAGTATGAAACTCCAGGTTAAAAAAGAATGCCTAAAAGGAAGAGTTTATACTTATAGAAGGATGAATTACTCGCAAAGTGGGGAATGCGTTTAAGATACAGGAATAGAGAGAAAGATGGCTTGTTCTTCCCCTAATCTCTTACTTTGATTCTGATACCAAATCACTATCTTTCAACTTGGAAATGCTTGGATTTAAGGAAGCTGTGGCTACAATTATCACATAAAAGGGTTTGGTTGCAATGCTTATAAGCTGCAGCATAATTAAGCTGAACCAAGACTAATTTGGCAACCTGCTGCCATTTTAGAATGGACAGTCACGACAATAAACCATTTATCACTTTTCAAATCAGATTATGTTACACCGGAAAATTGTTTGCTAGTTCTTTTGTGTGCAGCATGCTATAGTATGCAACTCTTCTCCCATTATGAAATAAGGTTTACTCGCTATTAGTGTTTGGACATCGTCTTAAATGCAATTTTCTCTTAGGTCAATTTCATTCAGTCCTACTCAATGTAGGGTCTCGCCAAGGACAACTCCATCTGCACATTCTATGCTGGTATTGAAGTGGCATGATATGGCGTTATCCTGATGCTTGCCATACAATCCAAAAAATGCAAAAATATGTAGCAGCACAACTTTTGGCATGATAAAACCCAAGCCTTTATGATGTCAACATGGTACAGCATAACCATTACTTCCCAAAATCCTTAACTCAAAACCTTGTGGTCATCACATAATTCCATAGACTTCTTCCCTCCAGCTCTTGTGCATTTACATATTGAGAGTCGGGTTGAGGACCTAATTTACAAATTTTGTGGTTCAGTGATTTTCTTTTCTGAATATGAACTCCTGTGTGTTTTATTTACAAGCCTTTCTACAGTCAAATTGTAACAATCAGTAGAATATAACTATTTTATGTAAACATTGGCAGGGTATCCCAAAGATTGAGCCTAACAGTGACTTGCAGAATATTGTGGAGGTAAGCATGGCACTAGTATTTGTTTGCTTGCTGGGTTCATTATTAGATATTCTCACAAAATTCTGCTGATATCTTTGGTTTGATTTTTTTAAAGATCAAGACACCAGAGCAAATCGAGCGAATGAGAGAAACATGCCGAGTAAGTATCGTAGACAGAATTCCCATGTGCTTTTCTACTTGTGTGTGTGTGCATGGATGTTTATATTTTGTATGGCTAGAGTTACATGGCTGAGCATGTCCAGGCTCTAATAGAGCCCAAACTTGGTTTAGGCTGGGCCCAGCTAAGATGTACCGTGTGAAACATTAGGATCAACTTGAGGGTCAATGGATCCAACCTTCATCCAAATCGAGGTTGGTGCCTGGATACTAGTGCTTGGTTTTATGCAATGACATTTAGATGTCATCCTATAACCTTGGGTATAGCCAATATGAGATTTAGGAATTAAATTATTGCAGATATCCACTCATCACATGAAAAACCATCTTGTTTGTTATCACAATTTCTAGTAATTAATATCACAGATGATTATGCTTTCTCCCATTCTGAAGGTGCTAGTGACTGGCTAGCTTCGTCTGTTTGTTTGCCAAAAAAATGCTGATGTAAAGTCTATTTTATTGGAAAAGAAGTTATAGTATTTAAAATGTAGGGGAAAAGGAACAGAAAATAGTTTTCCTTCTCAATTTCTTGTGTTTGGAATGCAAGAAAAAAAGAATGTTGCTTCTTGTTTTCTCAAAGGAACAAAAAAAGAATGTTCCTTCTCAATTTCTTGTGTTTGGAATAAATGCATGCGAATCCACTTGTGTTTTCTGAACACTTTTGTTTTCTCAAAAGTAAATTCAGAAAATTAGAAGGCATGAGTATGCGCTTTTGGATGATATGGTCACCAAAATCATCTTCATGTTCTTTCTTAACTTTCTTCAGTTCATTTCTCTGTGGGGAAAGGCAAAAAAAAGCTTATTTTCTGATGGCAAGCCTTTTTAGACTTGGGAGTAAGGTTGTGTACATTGTCCTTCCTAGACCTTGTGATGGCAGGTGCCTCTCCTTTATTGAGTCACTCTTTTTTTACTTACTGGGATTATAAAGCTCTTGTGGACTTTTCTCCTCCTTGGATCCTTCTCATATTTAATGGTACTGGTCATTACCTTCTTGTTTGTGATGTATCAAGAAGGGTTAGTGCACAATTGTCGCACTGGGAGATGTAGCAGAAGAAGAGGTCGCTGAAGATTGCAGGCACTAGGATCTTCTTTGTGTGCCTCTAGGGACTTCTACCCTCTTTTTATGTGTCTCATTATTTTCCCTTTTTTTAAAGAAAAAGTTAGGGGGGAAGGTTGTGGTGGAAAGTGGTAGTTTTCTAAATCATATATGCAGGTAATACAATTCGAAATTTTGAAGGCATAATTTTCTATAATAGCAACTTTTAGTTTTCATTTGGTATAGGTTCTAAGTTGTAAAAAAATTTATTTTCTTAGCAAATTTTCTAAACGTGGAAAATTTAAAAAAATGAATAATTCATTTATGCATGTTCTCTTTAACCTGCCAAGCAAACATAAGAAAAAAAATTTCCACAAATATTTTTATGCATTAAAAAAGCTTGTCCAAATTTGGTTAATTCCCAATATTAATCTTGCAATTCTGAATACTTATATTTGATCAATATGTGCAAGAATATATACTTGTTCTAACAAATTCTGCTCTTTGTTTCAACTTCACAATAATCAGATTGCTAGGGAGGTTTTGGATGCAGCTGCTCGTGTCATCCGACCAGGAATTACGACGGATGAAATTGATGAAGTGGTTCATCAGGCAACAATTGCTGCTGGTAAGTTGGTCTCATATTTTTGCATGAAATTTGTCAAGGACAATGTGTGGTTAGTATGTTTTTGCAGCAAAATGTCCACCATTAATTTATGAGATCTGACTATGCAACACAATGTAATCCTGTTTATATGAAACTGTAGGTGTGGTCATACTGATTGGATTTCTTCTCATTGCATTCTTATTTTTGGATATGTACTCTATTGTAGTCTTATACTTGGAAGTGGATATAATTTTAGCAACTTAAATACAAATGCCTAAATGGCTTTATGCTTACTAGCCTTGCTTTAGCTTTATTCTGATATTTTACTCTCGACTTGTCTGACAACATTTTAACTTTAGTTTGTTCGATCTTAAAGTCAATTGAATCTTCATAATTCAAACTAGAGTAAACTTGGTGTGATCTAAACAATAAAATCACACAGATAACATTGGACTTAAGAGCATATGATTGCCATATAAAAAGAAACTGAACATGCATTATTAGATCAAGGGAATAATGATACATTTCAACATAAATTGGTTTCATGTTATAGTTTAAATAATTCTAATTGATTTCCATTAAACTAAAAGTAGAACGTAGGAAGATATAATTCCAATTGATTTCATGTTATAGTTTAAATATATTAGAGGCTAAGTCGCACAAGACAAAGCCAAAAAGGCCCACTTATGTCATTACCTTATTTAATGCCCGAATGTAACATTAAAGAGTTGTTTGATAATCATCCTTGTTGTGGATGGTTGTCCAGCACATGGATGCATATTTGAGACAATTCATGTGAGTGGATGCTGGAGGTTAAGTAACACTGTCTTTCCAAAAAAAAAAGGGAAAAAAGTAATACTGCTTTATGTAATATTTTTGTGTTCACTTAGTTAGTACTCTTTAGACGTCGAACGGTATCTCTCTCTGTTGCTGCTTGCAACATGAGTTTATCACTGACATTCATATACTAACATGAGTTCTAATCTTTTCTTTCCTTTCTCAGGTGGATACCCATCTCCATTAAACTATCATTTTTTTCCGAAGTCTTGCTGCACGTAGGTTGTTTTTCCAATGCGCACCACATATTAGCATCGTACCTTCACTATGGTTTTGCTGCATTGGTAACTCTTGATGTTCTTCAAATCCACAGGTCTGTCAATGAAGTCATCTGCCATGGAATCCCAGATGCAAGGTGCTTATCTTCCTGTGATGATTTTTTTTTTTTTTTAATGTTCTCCTATTTTCTTATTGTTACCTTACCTTATCGGATTTGCAATGCTTTTTTTCATTGTTCAACAAGTCATTTCAAAAAGTTATAAGATGGTAATATCAGTTTGGCAACAAGGACAGCAAGCTAAACTAGAACACCTGGCTTCCTTCCCATTGCATTATGTAATATCAGCATTTGATTCAAAATTGATTGGCAGACAGGGAGAGCAATGGATCAAATGTAGTGTCTCTCCCATATTATTTAGGATCCTGGCCTTTTTTTCTGTATCTTATTAATTTTTTTTAGTTTTGTTTTTTAAAATGTTAATTCAGTAGTTTCAAGACATGGTTGAGAATATTCAGAGAAGTAATCAGTTATGATTGCTAACTTTTTGAGTTCATTATATATTGTTCTGGCATCTTTTTTTTGTGTGCATCAATTTTTTAGCTGACACTAGTTGATCATTGGACTCTATATGCTATGCATTTTCATTTAGAAGTTTAGATAGCTCTATATTATGATTTTAATGAAGAATTATGATTCCTAGTGGTTTTTGGATGATGAATATAATAACTGTTAAGGTTCAATTTTCTTGGAAGGAAAATATTGGTTTCTTATGTACCAAGAAAAGCAGATAAATAATTGCAAATGCAGAAGCTGCAGGGATCAACAAAGTAAAGTTGTTCAATGTGCAATTTACTTGGAGGTGATAAGAACTGCAACAGCAAAGTGAATCTCAAAGTCCTTGCTATTCGGAAAGGGCATTTAAGTTGATGCTCAATGAAAGTTATGTAGTCAAGCTGGTGGTTATTTGGTGAAGCTTAACCAGATAAGATATGTTAGGGTTCAAGCATACTTTTTGGATGATTTGAGGATTAGTCGGTAAGATGTGATATTTATTGCTTTAATTCTTTGATGTGAGATACCAAATTGGTTGTGCTGAAAGGAGGAATTAGAAGTTCATGAAGGTGAAGCAGGAAGGTAGTTCTGAATGTTCAGGGAAATGAAACATCGGCATGTATAGTTCTCTTGCCTTTTTATTGAGCTCATTGTATGTGAACATCAGGTATTTACTCCATTGTACTTTGAAGATTGGATTAGTTCTCTTGCCTTTTTTCTTCATGATGAATAGCTGTCAAAGCTAAAGCCAATCTTTGCATGCAAGATTTGGTGTTAAATTTTTTGGATGTGTACTTGACCCTTCTTATCAAGTGTAGAACCATTTGGTTGAGGCAATTATTCTGGGAAGTGATTTCCTGTTGGATGACTTGGTGGTGTTGCAAATTGCAAATTTAAGAACATTACGGGCATGTAGATCTGAATTTCAGGAGGAAAGGGAAATTTTTTAAATGAATAATCTGAATCTAGAGTCAGAACCAAGATGTTCACTTTGGTGGTTGCTTTGCCGGCTGCGTGGGTGTTGGGAGGCACACTGGCCGACCCAGGCATTTTGTGTATCAGTGCAGGTTGACAAGGATATCTTGTGAAGTTATTCGATGAAACTGCTTTTTATAGTTTTCTTTAGGATCCAAATCACTCTTTGGCTTGTGTTGTGGTATTATTATTGGCTGTTTAACTGGTTGTGTTCTCAGCCTCAAGATGATCATGTTTTCCCTTTAAGAAAAAACTTCCATCCAAGTGAATATATCTGTAGCTGCATCTCACATCTCAGGTTTTTCTTTTGAAACTTTACCCAGAAATATATTCTTCAAAGTTGTGATAACCCAATTCTGTATTTGATGTGGTATGTGTTAACAAGCAGTTGGAGTGTTCATGCTAGGATGCCACTCTATCCCTGCAGATTCTTGCCACTAGGCATGCACTTATGCCATGCCATTAGACACCACCATTTTCATGGCTTACATTTTGCCATTCTGACGTAAAATGGAGATGTGACCGAGAATTTTTGCACTGATATTGCTTGACTATGTTTGTTGGTGCAAGACACTGCTTGACTATATTTATTAAATAGGATTTTTATGCTAATTTTTTCACTTTGTATATTAATTATCCCTGCATTATGCTGTTCCTTGTTTTTTGAGTCTCTAGCTAGGTATCTGAAAGCAAAGGCTGCTTTCTGCATAGTTATTATTGCTAGTGGGTGATCTGCATTTATATGTCATACAAATTCGATCAGCAGAAGGTAAAATTATGCCGGTTCTCGCATTGCAGGAAACTTGTAGATGGTGACATTGTTAATGTTGATGTCACTGTATATTATAAAGGTGTCCATGGTCAGTACCTTGCACTCAATTTAGTCAGCTTTTCGTTTTTGTAGAAATTTATAATGCCTTTTGGATTCTGAATCTGTAGGTGATCTAAATGAAACTTTTTTTGTTGGGGAGGTGGATGAAGCTTCCCAGCAGCTTGTTCGTTGCACATATGAGTGCTTGGAGAAAGCTATTTCTATAGGTTGTTTTTTCATAGCTAACTAATAACAATAATGGTTACATTACAATTTAGCTTTCTATCAGTTGTCCATCTGTATGTTTTCTTTAATTAGCTCTTTCGACGATTTCGTTAGATAAATGTCCCTTCTTTTTGTGAGAATTATTTTTAAAATTCTTGGTTCTCAAGCTCAGTTAAACCTGGGGTTCGATTCCGTGAGGTTGGTGAAGTTATTAATCGTCATGCAACAATGTCAGGGCTTTCTGTGGTAAGTTATAACGTAAAATGCTCACAATACAATTCATATCCTGGTATTGACTTTTGACAAATAATCATGTTTTGATTGCACAGGTGAAATCATATTGTGGGCATGGTATTGGCGAGTTGTTTCACTGCGCCCCAAATATTCCTCATTATGGAAGTATCCACGCCAGTAACCTAAAAGGAATAAAACCCAATGTTCCAACACAATAGGTTATGTTTGGTTTGCAATCTTATGTGTTGAGTAGAAATATTGAGAATTGCTTATTATTAAACGAGGCCTGGGCAAGGAACCTGTTTATGCCACTTTTCAGACAGATTGGTTATTATCAAATTAGCCCTTTCATAAGAAACTCATTGTGCTTCTTTTCAGTCAACGCATTTTATATGTTGCCATATAGTGCCGTTGCCTTAACACTTAGCAGGAAATAAAGCAGTCGGTATAATGAAGGCTGGACAGACTTTTACTATAGAACCAATGATAAATGCAGGTCATTATTGGAGGTTGATTAGTGTCTCTGTTTGTTCGACACCCATAATTAATTTTATTGAGCTCTTTTTTGCTTCAGGAGTATGGCGTGATCGTCTATGGCCAGATGGATGGACTGCGGTTACTGCAGATGGTAAACGTAGTGCTCAATTTGAGCACACACTTTTGGTGAGTAGAGCCATTTAATTGTAAATTGTTATAGTATTTCCTTTGTCTTGACTTACTAGTCTTTTGCGGCATCAAAGTGTTGCTTGCTTAAATTTTTGGTCTTTATAATTTGCAGAAATATTAGTAATTTGTTTCTGCAACTGCAACAGCTACCTGTAATGTAGTACAAGCATATTCTTGATTTATGGTGGAAGTAAAATTGAGTTTGTTCAATTTCCTTTATCACATTGGGTATGCAGATTATCACATTGGTTTTCTAGTGGAGAGATTCTAGGGAATTATAGAAGAGGTGCAATTCTGCTTTCTGCTCCTGTCCATTAGTTGATGTACTATTTTCTTACCATTTTTCCAATAAAGTTATAGACAACAAGTTTTAATCTCATAAAATTGTTTCCAAAAAAAAGGTCAACTAATGTGTGGAAACAAACTTAATAATATCAATGTTGATAATATTAATGTGTTGAAACAAACTTCGAAAAGCATTTATACACTTTCTTCCCCTGACATTTTCTATTCAACAGCCCCTCAGTTTGAGAATCGTATTCTAATTGTTAACTGTGCTGTGCAGGTAACAGAGACGGGGGTGGAAGTTTTAACAGCACGGTTGCCCTCATCACCCAAGGTCTTTCCTTGGTTAAACTTTTAATTATGTTCGTTTTGTTCTGCATTCAGCAGCTTTTCCTGGCATCAGTCAAGAAATTTGTTCAATTTAGTGAATTATGCTGAATTTATACAATTGTATCAAATGACAAATATGTGCCCCTTTACAAATTTAACGTTTGTATCATTTTTGTGCTGAAACATCTATTACACCACATACATGCGTCCATTTGGACAGGTTGCCTGGTTAATTATGATTCTCAGTAAAATACACTGGGTATGCTTGATTCGGTTGTGTTTCCCATTAGCCTTTTTACAGAATTATACTTTTTTACAGTTAAAAAAAAAGTATGAAATTAAAATTAGTGTCATTCACAAGCTAATAACTCGCTTGTGAGTGACACTAATGCACAACATTCATGCATCTACAAGGAGTCTGAAATTTAACTGAATCAACAGTCCAACACAGGATGGAATGAACGTCATAATGTTTCAACACTTGTGCCGAAGCAAAGAACCAACAAAACTGCATGGTCATCCGCCAGGCTTATGCAAGCTCAAGACCGCAGACATGAAGAATCTCCAAACTGGTTCTTAATATCCTCGAGATAAAGCAAATTTAGCTAGAAACCACTGAAACCAACTAATGAGGAATATGACTCATTCTCATCACTTACTTTCATCTTCCTTTCATCTCCCTTTCTTGGTACCCTATTCCTAACTTCTTGAGAGGGACCAGAATCTAGACCAGTCATTTCATATAATTTAGATCTTCCAGTTTTTGCCTCATCAAGAGCACCTTCCCAACAGATTTCAGTAAGAACTTCCAGTGCTCTTTCTATCTTGTCCTCTGGTACGTGATTTTCATTCTGCAGCAGAACAAGATACACCTGATCAGCTGCAGCCTTGCGTATCTGAAAGTTCACAAACAAGACAAAAACTATCAGTCCCGATGATGATTATCAAAAACTATAAAAATAATCAAAACAATCAAACAGTGGCTGGTAAACTTGAGCAATCAATCCCGATGAGGATTAAATGAAAAATATGATGTACTTTACTATACCTTTGGGTACCTATGGCCAAGGAAAAATAGAAGCTGAGACAGTGCTTTGGAATTGATTGGTTCTGAAACTGAAGCGACATATCCAAGTATTGAAAGGCCTGCAAATAACTTAGCGAAATCCTTTGATGCCTTCAGCTCAACTGAGAGAGACTGCAGGAGACCACTGTAGAACTCCAGAGTATGATCCTATTTACCATGACCAATTAAAGTTAAACCTATGGAAAGCTAAACATCCCAGAGAACATTTCAACAAATTCTAAAGAAAAATTTCCCATCCAAAGAAAAATATATTGGTTTCAACAATTATCTCAACTGCCACTTTTACTATTTATTAAAGTTTCATCTCTTTAAGCTGATCCTTTTTTAAATGTAAAATCCAATAACACTAGAGATGTATTTTTATTTGTTTTGCTGCAACTTTACACTTGCCAATGGTTTCTGTGGATAAATGGAATCCAATAGTGTGAGACAAGTGGTGTTATAACCTGAGACTCAAGTTCTAAATGCCCCTACTAGCTTGATATACCCTTGAAGCTAAGACTCAAGTTCTAAATGCCCCTACTGGGAGACCAGAATCTTCCTAGAGTCTACTCAAGATGAACTGGCTTCTGGTACCAATGCTATACAATTAATATCCAGCCCAAGAGAAGCTTCAAAATTTACATTACTATTTCCTTTGGACCCACAACAGAGGAAACCAGAGCTTCCTTTCAGAATACCAGGTAAAAAGCAATATATAAGCATATTAATGTGGCCCATTCTCTTAAACTCATCCTGAGAACACAGCATTTGCCAAATCTCCAACAATTATTTCTTATGACAACCCTTATCGCCTGCCGAATACGGTATGAAATGCCTAACATTCTGATCCACAAATTATAGATGGCCTTAGCGACCATATGGCCTTTCCACTTTAATCTTTAGGTTACATATTATTCCATATCCTTTGCTGTTAAAAGTAGATTCAAGATATTGAATTTCCTTTTCCAGATTTTCTGGTCATCTGTCTCAACTGTAACTTCATTTCTGGCTCAACCGAGAGAGAACGCAGAAGATCACTGTAGAACTCCTGAGTATGATCCTATTCACCATGACCAATTAAAGTTAAACCTATGGAAAGCTAAACATCCCAGAGAACATTTCAACAAAGCTAAACTTCATATTGGTTTTCACCTGAAGCCCTTCTACTCTCATAAGTTTATTACCCACATACCTAACTGTGTTCGTGGCACATTTCATGCATAAGACAATATTTCCAACATTAATCATGCAACATTAAAATTGGGATTTCATCTAGAATATTTAATATGCTCTGCAAATAGGTGACTCAATATCAGCCCTTTACGTAAAAATGATTGGAGCATGTCATGCCTCCTCTTATCCTTAAACACTAGTAATTGCTTCATCACATCAAAATTTCCACTAATATTCTCTTTCTTTTCTAACATCCATTAGATAAATCTTAAGGAAAAAATCTCTACAGTATGTAAATCAAAACAACAGCTGTCAATAAAATTCTTTGGGAAGATAAAATAAAATGACCAAATACATAGTTATAATCAAGGATTTAAATATTAGTCTGATACTAGTTTCAGTAGTCTACCAGACTGGAACAGTTTAGTATACTGCCCTATCAAGTATAGAAATCTAGAATTCGAGATCATATACTGGTCTTTATATTCTATCAATATGGTACTGCTGCCAAATCATCTAGTCTGATATTGGTCTATGCTTGTAGTGGTAATTACCGGTGCATACCAGATATGTCAAAATAGTTGTTATACAATCATGAAGTTAACAAGCGCACGCACACACACATATTAGATAAAATAAATAAATAATCAAGTACAAGCAATTTGTGGATCAGGTTAGTTATAAATCAAGTACAAGCAATTTGTATAAACTGATGTGTAAAGTAGGTAATTGGGCTTAGCAACAAATTAATCTAATTAAGACCCAATCAAATGTGGGTAAGTATTTAAAATATGAAACATAATCACCTTTCTAAGACAGAAGTTAGAAGAGAAACATGTATTTATAAGATAGAAAATTTAAAAGAAAATAAACTAGAGATTCTATGGCAGCACTAACAATAAAATAAAATAAAATATGAAAAATTACCTGAAAATTGAAAGTCAAATGGCCTAATAAGGTTGTATAGCAGATGTTCCATGTTAATTCTTCTAAAACAGTATATAAATATCACAAATAAAATACCCTGAAAAAATTTACAAAAACTAAACATTGAGAAAAACAAGTATAGTTTGCAGTGTGAACTTACCTCCATATTCAAGAATACCTTTTTGCTAAAAAGAATCTCAATTGTCTGTAACCAAAAAAGGGAAGTGTTGGAAACATAAAAATATAAAACTATCATAATGATCAAGGCTAAAAAGCACCCAAACAAAGCACAATATTATAAGTCTATTTAGGTCCAAGATGCAACATATTATTATTTCCATTTATTATATAGTTGAAAAGAAACAATTGACAAATGTTAATTTTCCTTCAATGCAGGGTCTCCATACAGTGCATTAAACATTTATGCAAACCTACATATCCTATGATCCTATGAGAAACGTCATAAAATGGAACAAGCATAAAAATAATATCAATTCAAAAACACATGCAAATGTTGCTCAGAGACAGGCAGATAATCACAATGTGTTGGAGGAACTGAGGAAGAACAATCATAAAGTTCTATGCCAGTAATATTGACACCACAAATGGATAAAGGTAAGGTGCAAGATGATGATGTCTACAAAGCTAGAAGTCCCTGAACAGTTAAATCTACAATGCTTAAGACTCAAAACATGTTAGCTGAACAGTCAAATATTTAATGCCTTGAAATATTTAAGCTTGAAGCTATGAGGAGAGACAAAAGCCTTGAAATTTTTAATTGGTCAAATTGTTACAAGATATAGTATCCTACACAACAAAAATGTCTATTAAACAAAATGAATGCAAAGTCACCAATAGTGTAACATAAGTATTGCAGTGAGAACAAAAGAAAAAAATTCCCTAAAGAAAACATATGTTGCACATTTGTTAGACCAAATATGAGCAAGGACATCAAAAGAACTCTACAATCAGATAAAATGAGACTAAAACCACAGGTTTAGTTTACATGCCACTAAAGTTTTTAAAGCTGAAGTGCATACTCAGTGCATCAGGCTCCCGCCAATACGGGTCCCAAGACATCATTAATAATTTATTCACTACCAGGAAATCAAACCTAAGTTGAAGTTCACATATTTTGCTGTGTTAGGGTAAAAACACAATGCTTATTTTTGTATGGATTAGTTGATCAATTAGATTTTATATAACCTGATGCCAAAATGTACCTCAGCCATTGTAAAGAAAAATAAGCTTGCTTTTGTAATGTTGCAATATATGAAATCAGTTGAATCTTTAGACATGATTTGACCATATACTCACATACCTTGAATGCTGGTGTAACAACCCTGTCACATTTCTGATACTGTTGGAGAATCCAAAGAAAATCAGTACTCAACATACATTCTCTGACATTCCTCTTTTCATTTATATCACCTTCTGAAACTTGAAGATACTCGAGCAAAGCTGTTACTGAGGCTTTGCTCAGGGACTCCTGCAACCCACCAGTAGAGATTACCAGCCCGGAAAGCACATATCTGCTATAGCTGCTTATCCGAAGAAGCTGCACCAACCGTGGATAAGATACAGGAGGGACCTGGTAGAATTGAAAACAAATGTAAGGACTTCATATATCTGGAATAGGAAAAAAAGGTAATCATCTAAACCCTACAAAATTAAGAAAAATCACTACTAGCAAAGCATCCATTTAAATGTCACAGGTGTGAATAAGATAGATCCAATAAAACTTTATAATACAATAAAAAATAGATTTGATGGCACTTAGTTTGAGTAGCGATGTGAGTGACGTGACCCTCAACACAGCTTAGTTTGAGCAGTGACCTCAGATGGTGAGAACACTTAAGCATGTTATTTCAAGACGATAAAAAAAATAGGAAGATACATCTTACACTTTAACAGCAATCGTTGTATTATTAAAACATGCAACAAATACAAAAAGAAAATAATCTAAAGTGATAAATGGCAGCCAATAGCTGCCCTTTTGACCAGTAAAAAAAATGTTGCCTGTGTACTGTAACCAAGCAGACAAAGCATACATGATGAACACAAATGTTTCTATGGCAACAGTCAAAAGATGTTCACCTAAGGAGCTGAGCTGTAAAAGTGATATTCATGGGAAAACAACTAAATGAAAGTGAACATGTTTAAAAACTAGGCAGCAGATGTTAATGTTCTAATATGTCAACTAAAGCACTCCATGTCAAAGATTCTACTCAAAGCTGAACTCTTAGAAATGAGTTTCTCCATAAATTTTTTTATGAAAAGCAGAGTCCTATCTTTTGACAGAGAAAAGGTGTAGTTTCATAACAATAACTCATGCTAATATAGTGTAGCTAGAAAATAGATCTGATCAATTTAAAAGTTACACAGGACAGAATTCTAGACAAGTCAAAAAAATAAATTATATATTGTCTATGCTAGATCTTATTAACTAGAAAAGAGTAACTCTGAGTGTTTTATTTGTCAAATATTAAGACCCGCTGTAGTACTCAATTAATCCGATAAGCTAAATAATGAGCTTAGACAAAGTGGATAAGGAAATATAGACACAATAATCAATAATTAAAAAACAGTGAAGCTTAGACATTCTGGACCAAAACAAACTTACAGTCCACTTTAGATCTGGATCATTTGGAATAATATGTTCTAGTATTTTCCTATGTGATATAAATGGAATAAAGTACTCTTGGTTGTATAAAATCCTCTGCAAAGTCTTGGCAGCAATATCTCTTATTTTATCTATTTTTTCGACAGCTTGTTTTGCAATGCCACCTACTAAGTCAGTGACAATTTTTGCATCAATAAGCCGGAAGCTAAAGTCAGCTGCTAGAAAATCAGAATCACATGGCTCAAACTGGTGCTCAGTGACAAGTGATCTGTTAGACCCAATACTGTCTTTCTTGCAAATGATGTACATGCACCTCTCAAGAGCATCCATAGCAGCTTCACGCACCCAAGAACCAACATCACCTCTGTTATCAACAGCATAGTCATTGAGAGCTTCAAATACTGTTTGCATCACTTCGTTCTTGATAAATAAATATAAGGATGACAATTCTTCATTGAAGTTATCATCAAAGGAAGAACTAGTTAGCGTTTCACAGACTGCAATTAACCCACGGACAGCATTTACACGTGCTTCAGCATCTGGATCATCAGGTTTATGCTGCATACAGAAGAAATTCATGAATCAATAGTACTACTGAGAAGATTCCAACAACTACATTATTTTTGAGACATTACCTTAATTGAACAAGAGCTACAAAGCTTTGTTATGATACTTCTCCATTTTCGCACCAAGAATTCGTAAGGTAAGATCCCAATAGCCAATGCTGCACCTCTTCTTGCAGCTACATTAGGATCATCTAGGAGTTCAAGGTACTTTACGGTAATCTCATTGGCAACTTTATCTCCCAATGTAACAAGATAAGCAGGAACAAAGTTCTTTAATGCATCAACAGCAGAATTCTGGAACAAAAATTAACATCCAGACCATAAGAGGTCATATGACTACAAGAAAGATAGATACACTATTACAAATGGAAGAATTAAAAGTCACATACCCTAAAAATATCAATGATAATTGCTTATACTAGTGGGTTCCAATCACAATTATTCCCAGTATATGAAAATTTAGGAAAGCACAGCCAGAGAAGTTCCAGGCAAAGGAATTTTACCTGTATCTGAGCATTGGGGTGCTTTAAATTCTCATTTAGAGTATCAAGTAAAGTCCTTTTTGTCTTCTCATTTAAGGGCATTTCAGAGAGAGAAAGACACTGGATGAATCTTGAAACTGCAGAACGCATGATCTCTCCTCCCTTTCCCCGATAAAGGCGTGCCTTCTCAATTGCAGGGACAACACCAGATAAAGATTTTTGCTTTTCTATACAACAAAATGGAATATATATAACTACAAAAACAAGAAATGGCTCCAAGATAACTTCTCTCAATTCTGATTGAAAGAATGAAATGTGGAAAACATAAATGGAACATAAGCATAAAAATTGAATACTTGCTAAATGTGCTAACAGATCAAATTATAAATAAAAAAATTTATGAGAATGAAAAAGGGTAGTCTCATATGGTTCTGATGATCAGATACACAAATCAACAAAAATGATTAAAGAAGTCTTGAAATACCTAAACAGATAGCCATTGAGAAAAGCAATGCATTATGACAAGAAATCAGGGGGTTGACAGGCGCACCTCATGGAAATAGTTGCAATAGAAGGTCGCTTGGTTCATGACAGTGATTGCTTATACATATCTTGTTAGAAGGTAGATTAATAGTAAGAGATTTAATAATTTTCATTCATTAGGATACAAAGCCTCATCCGATTCAGGACATGATTTCTCAAATACACGAGTGAAAAGAACAAGGAAAATATGATGCTATCAATGTACAGTATATTATTCAGAAATCAAACATCCTGTTAAGCCCCTCAAAATCAACTCTTAGGATTCTTCTGATTATGGCATCAGATGTGGTTAAAGTAGCAGTACTGTAGCACTGCTACAGTGCTCGACACGCCTGAATATACCGCTCGGTACACCTGGGTGTACCGAGCGGTATACCATACCGTACCGGTACCGAGCCCAGGTCGAAACTCTGGTACGGTACGATATTACGAACCTTGGCCAAAAGCCCCAGATGAGGCATTTGCTAATGTGGTGGATCAGAATAACTCCATAAATCCAACCATTCTCTTTGACCTTAACTAGTCCAAAAAGACTCACTTTTTACCTTCATGTATAAAGATTCACCAATGCTTCATATGATTAGCCTACACCTCACTATATTAAGATATGTAGCAACTACCCCAAAGCAACTTTTCTATATGATCTGAAGTTCTGAACAACATTTGAACATAGCAAGCTCGTGTAACTGTAGCAATAAAAAAAGAAACATTACAGTGAAAAATAGTGTATCAAAAGGAATATCCAACTTGCATTTAGAGACTAATATATAAATAGTTTGAAGCTCCAAATGTGCAGGTACCTACCAGCAGGAAAAACAAAGCCATTCTGATGCAAAGTTAAAAGAAGCTCCCCAGCAGCCAATGTAGCACCATGACGTGTGCACAAGTCGGATGATAATGTGCTTGGAATTAATTTTCCTAGAACATAATCTGCAAAATAATTGGGATCATATTTTGCAAGGGCCGAAAATGCCTCTGCGGTCAGTTCTCTCAGGCTCTTGTCCTAGAGAAAAAGTAAAAGATGTGGAAAGTTAACAAAGATATTAGTAATTTAATTCTGATAAAGAAACAAATCCTAAGAACATCTATTATGTGGCCTATGCATGGCATTCAGCAAAGTGACAATGTTTATATAATTCAAAGCTTTGAAGAGATTGTTATCAGATAATAAAATATTCATCATCTCAAAAAGATGCAAAGCAAATAATCATTTACTGACATTATTCAAAATGTTTCTGGTGCTAGATAATTAAAACATCAATAAACAATATACCAAAATTAACTGGGGGAATTCCAACATAAATGAATGCAATCTTTTACATACCATGTATGTATGTATTATATATGGTAATGAATTACCACAAAAATGAAAATCATAGAAATAAGCAAAAAAAAATGATTAGATATCAGTAATATATAATGTGATGCACATGGACAAAAGGCTTACAATAAAAGATACAGAAAATCAGAAAGCTGGCGAGACATTGCTTTGGACGCAAGAAACAAAAATAAGGAAGAAGAATCAAATAGTTGTGAAAAGATAATAAAAAATGTTAGGAACTTTTGTAGCACATTGAAAATGGTGACGGAGATAAACAAATTTGCATGAAATTTGTGAGTTAAGTGGATCAAGCTTATTGATCGTACAACCATAGAGTGAATGAACAAATATAATATTGATCTTGAAAATCAGTCTCAACACATGTAAAAGTGAAACAGTTGCTATACAGGTGATCAAAAAGCAAAAAAAGAGAACAGAGAGATCCACAGATGGCCTTTACTAATTAATAAAGCAAATAAAATATTGTTCCTTGAGTATCTTAGTTTTTGAAAAAGAGTATATATCAACTGTCTATTTGATCAAGGAAAAGTATGACAGCAGTTTGCAAGGATAAGCTGAAAGTGTCATTGATCATGCACAATTGGTTGATATTAAGGCTCAGTCTTGAGCCCATGGTATGCAGTACAGAATGGTATCGCCCGGTATGGGCGGTACGTACCGGTCCGATGGTATATCGATACACGGACCGTTCGGTACCGCTACAGTTCTACAGTACTATACTGTAGCAGTGCTGCAGTGTTACAGTGCTACAATAACGAAGAAAATATATAAAATTGTTTGGTACGCTCTGGTGTACCGCTCGATATGCCCTGTGTACTGCTCAGTATGCCGGTACCGTACCGTACCGTACCGAGTCAACCTCGAAACACCGGTACGGTACGGTATTGCATACCTTGCTTGAGCCATTACTTATTGGCATTAGTTATGAATGTGCTCAAAGGGCATGGTAAGTTCCATAGCATACATTATCAGCCGTAGCACTGTCTTCTCCTATAGCAGTATAGGATAAAGAGAATCAATACAAAATATCTGAAGTTAAGTTAACAATCAAGATCTGAAATCTTGGTCTGATACTGGTTTCAATACCTTCTTAAGAGTAGTATAATGCTGGTATACCAGGTGGTGTACTGCCTTGTAGCGGTTCATATCACTATACAATATAAATTATAAAGATAAATACTGACTATTACCGAGTTACATGGTCTAATACCGGTCCTTGGTCGAACCAATGATACCAGTCGGTGTATTGGTCTAATTGGTATTTGAAACATTGACTTCAATAAGTAAGCTGAGCATGTAAAAAAAAAAGTAAGCTGAGAATAAAGCTGGGGTGAGCCTTAGCGGCTGTATCAAATACCATATGGGTATGGTATGGAAGGTATAGGTATGGTCATCTGAACCTACAAAGCTTACTGGAACTAAGAAGCAGATGCATCAAGGCTCTACTGTCACATGGTCTACATACCTCACCAAGCTTGGCTGCAGAAATCATGGGTTCTAGGATAGCAAAAAACTAACATCCGTGAAGATTTGAGAGCTGATGTATTCAAGCAATGGTTTCCGAGTTGTCAGAACAAGAAGATAAGCTTTTTACCTCGGCATTTTATTGTACCATGAAAGAGAAAAAGACTGTACTTCTCAGAGTCAATAGCATGGTACTTAAATAGGAGGTAGATATGGTCAGCTGTTTAATCAAACAGTCCTCAGGAAAGAAAAAGTTGCACAAACCAACCATCCTACACAAATAAAAAATGTTAGGGATTAAGAAACATGTCCATATTAGTTTAGTAATGGTGAGGATGTTACATGGAAGCTTTTGCAGGAGAATATTATGAATAGTTGTATTGTGATCAGTCAAAGACATCCACAACAAAGTAGAAGATGAAATATAATTGACTAAAATGGTTTCTGCATGCCCACTAAAACATAAGCACACTATATAGAATTATAAAATAAGAAAAATAATAAGAATTAGTAGAAGCAGTAAAGAGGGCAGAATGGCCCTGAGACAATCAGAGGATGTCTCTTAAATGAACAGATTAATACTGATGGCAAACAAAGGCTTGTAATTGTTTTAATATCTGCAAACAAATGGATGTAAATTGCTTGATCCAGTATCATGAAGTACAATTTCAGATTTTTTTCTCAGTTTATGATATCCTGAAGATAAAAAAAAGATTTCTTGATTGTGACTAACATATGCAGTAAACTTAAAAAGGAATTGATATTTATCACACATACCTCGAGAGAGAAATAGAAAATTATCATCATAAAATAAGAACTAGAATGAGTTTAACCTAGGTTAAAAAAAAATACCCAGTGATTTATTTTGCCACAAAGTAACTCCTCCACAAAAGAATAGAGATAGTCTCTATTTTGAGCTATTGAGGTAGCAACATGAAGATAAGAATTTGCTCGTGAGGCAAGAGAGAAATAATCTGCTTTATTGACGATGTCAATGCCATGTGGAAAATTTCCCTGTCTTCCTACATTCTCCTGAAAGGCAGCCGAAGCTGCTCTTCTACAGTTGACCTACCACATAAAAATAGCTTATTATGCTACAAAAAGACCAAGAAAATTTTTTTAAAGATACAAAAAATATCATGTTAACAAATTAAATGAATTCTAACGACACAGAAGAGTATATGCTAACCTCTCGGTCATAACAAGCAACCGTTAGAAGATGTGGAGCAAGTTGCTCCAGAGTATCTTTCATATCTCTGTCGGAGTAAGCTCTGCCAAAAGCCCAACATACATATGCAGCAGCATCGCGGACATGAGACCCAATACTATGAGGACCTCTCCTTACATCATAATGCAAAGCCTGAAAATAGATGTATTCCCAGCAAATGCTTACTGAGTCGGTTACTTAACAGACAACAAACTATCCAGATTGAAAGGCTATCTGTTATGAAGTACTCGATATATGTGATTCAAAAGAAAGGACTACTTAATCCTTTAGCAAAGAATGAGAAATAAGGTTACTGGGAGATTATGTCATCAAACTGATTGTTATTAAATTAACTTAAGAGTTGAAATATTAAGTAACATCAGAATACACAAAGGAACAAATACGTCTCTTTATCTCTTTATGGAGAGCTGGATATTTACTCGTCTTTCTGATTTGGCAGAAGAAGAAGCAGAGCAAAGATAAAGATTGTTTCTGTCTAGCAATCAATCTGACACAGAAATATGGTATATAGAGCAAGCCAAGAATTGACATTTGTTGTAAATTTCACACGATTATAAATTTGCAATTAAAAGTAGTACTTCATGAAATCTTGATTCTTTGTTCTCAATTTTGTAAACATGTAGGTCGGCAAAAAGCCCACAACTACGCTGTTCAAAGGTCAACGGAATTAACCTGAGCAATGATATAACCACAACCAGAAACTAGGCGAACCATTTTCAAGGTTTAAAGCATAAAATCAAGAGTAATATGAGCCATACGGTTGCCACAAAAATTTATTTAATATCAAATGCATAACCATTCTCCACATAAAAATGAAGTCTAGAAAATACAGTAGAACCTGATGAATAGTCATTCAGGAAACTTCAACTTCCAGTTAGTTATAGAGATAGTACTCTAGTCCTTTACTCCTTCCTGTATCTTGCCAACTATAATGGAGGCAGACTGGACATTATCAAGTTGTACATATACAAACATCAACACATACATTTGATTCAGGAAACTTCAACTTCCAGTTAATTATAGAGTTTTAGTACTAATCTAGTCCTTTACTCTTTCCTGTATCTTGCCGATTGTAATAGAGGCAGAGTGGCCATTGTCAAGTTGTACATATACAAACATCAACATGCAGATTTATGTATATTATTAAAACCCTATTCTCAATCTCTTCTCCAAGGTTCACTGTACCGTGGCATACCGCCCGGTATGGGTGATACATATCGGTTTGTCGGTATACCCACCGTAATATATGTTGGTACATTGGTACAGTTCAGTATGTATCATACCTATGCCTGGTCGATACACTGGTATGGACTGGCAAGATGAACCATGCCCTCCTCTATTATCCTCTTCCTCCTCTACCACAGTACACCACATGGAATCAGTGTGACTTCCCTATTGCAGCAAAAACAGGATCCTTGCACCAGCAACATCTCAGGCTTTCCATGGATGACTATTGATAGTGGCAACCATAGGTACCTCTATGCCAAATGCAAGCCTACACCAGCTCATATTCTTTCAGATTTTCAGGCACAAGCAAAGGAAAATTTTAATTAGGTTGCCTACACCGAACCCAACCATGATCAAACAATTTCTGGACTAGGATCACATTAGTAGATAAAATTACATAATATATGCAATTAGATCATTGATCTTATGGATTGCACACCACCAAGATTCTTGAGACCAGGTAAAATGGGTCTTGATGCATGAGAAATAGTTTACAGATCATATTGTATCTGATATATATCATACATACAATAAACAAGCCAACTCCAAGGAGGATAAAATTGTAAACTTCAGAACCAAGGAACAGGCTTAGCAGGCATCAATCAAAGTTGAATGAGTGATGCACAAACAAAAAAGCTGAGCACAAGCAGTTGATCCTCCAATCCAAAAAATGCTTTATTGGACCTGATGCACTATTGATCCCCACTCAAAATGCTGCATACCCAATACCATACCTTGTCACCTGGTACAGTAAAAGCAGAATAAAAAAAAGAAAAAGAACAACAAAAAACATAAGAAAATCTAATACTTACCAGTTCCCAGGGCTCTCTCACTTGAAGTTTAAAATTGCTGAACTGGCTAACTACTATAATCATTGAATTGGTCAATGTAGTTTAGTGGCTTAAATGGTTTTCAAATGAAAAAGGTTAAGATTCATAAAAAATTAACAGAAATGGCCAAATTTTAATAAGTTCACTTCATAATACATTTCACCTAAGTGGTGGTGCCTATCAGCTTCAAACTGGTAGGTATCACTGAGCAAGATTAGCAAGGTGATCATTGCACGGAATCATTTTTTATAGGATAAGAGAATTTAGGTTAGCACAATTTTCTTATTAGTTATGACTAGTTATAAAAAAAACTCCTATTCAAAACATGTATTGAGGTCAATCATCTACCGTCCTAGCATATCTTTTGCTCCATTCTCCCTGAACCAGTCCATAGTTTGTCCACAAATATGGCATCCTCAGAATCAATCCTATATTCTCATAACACTATCATAGCTAGGACAATAAGAAACTTGCCAATGTAAACCCTAACCACCAAAGTCCATCCGGTAAAATACAAAGTGAAACATAAACAACAAATTACAAAAATTAAGATACAGTATCATGTAAAGTTTGCATAGATTAGGGATTATTAGTAAAGCAATAGAGTTCCATCCTTAGATAAAATTAGTAATAAACAAAACAATATAATAGCTAAAGAGCAAATTCAGTTGCACACATATTAACAGTATGTGACTATGTTCTTCTATCCCAATAGAAAATATAGAAGAAGATACCAGTTATTCATTCACAATAGATTAGATGAACTCATGCGGTGAATAAGAATTGGATAGTGTCAATATTTCTTTTAAGTGTGTGTTAACCAGCAACATCTCTGACATGAAGATGAGAAAAATCAGCAAAGTCCACTACAGAATAGCTCATCTGCTGCTGAAATCAAGATTTCCATTAGTTGTTACCTTCACAATTACAGGAACTACTTTCGGAAGGCTAACAGGCAGTAGCAACCCTCTACGTGCCAGCTCTGCCAAAGCTAAGCAGCCTCCATGCCATGAACCATCTCCCTAGAAAGCTAGTCAATCAGATGCCTGAACTTCCTTAAACAAGACACAGAAAAACACTCAAGCTAAAGATGATCTTCATAAAAGGACAACCGTTTGATGACCTAAGTAGAAGATTTTTTTAGCAAGAGAAACAGATATTATTTGAGATACCAACCTCGCCAGGTGAAAATAACTCCAACACTGAAGACAATACATCTTCAGCAAAGGCAGATGTCAAACGTGCAGTTATGCGACCAACACCTTTTGCAGCTGACCACCGCACAACTGTATCCTGCATTTATGAACAGAATTGTGCTGATAGCAAGAAAAGGGCTATGAATGGAAACATAACTTAATCAGTAAAGGTATCCTACAGAAAATAAGGGACAACAATGGATTAATTAGGTCCAACTATTCAGTTAGTTGATAGGTGAATGGTTTTCAGTAAGGAAAGTGGCACATCAGTATATCATGAACCATATGTACCGAGTCTCGCAGGCTAGACAATAACAACTCAAGTATCTCTTCTACAGTTTCTGGAACATCCATTTCCTCGTCTTCTACTAAATCTGAATAATCTGTATCATTGGAACAATTAGCATGTTGACCAAAGTTATTGCCATAAGCTTCCCCAGAATTTTTCACTAAAAGGTTTTCTCCTAATGAGCTGCTTTTTCCCTGGATGAAGAAACAAGTAGATTAGGTCAAGGAAGCTACATAAACAGGAATAATTCCTCAACCTAGAATTTAGAAATGGAACATGAACTTAAATCTATCAAGTCTGAATGTGTAGAGAAGGAATGTAAATTACACAAAAACTTCTAGAAGAAAAAAAATGCCATGAAAGGTGTTCCTCCACAAGAGGGCAAGAACACTAAAAGACAGTTTCAGTACCAAAATTCTCCAGAAGTGAACAAATGCACATAATTACATCCATGACCATAATACTGGACGAACAACGTAAGCTTAAGAGCAAACTATATGATATGATGCATATCTGATTTATAACAGGTCACGAAAAGATCAATCTAAAATCTAAATATGACCTGAACTACTGCTGTACTTATTTCTACTTTCATCAAATAGTTTGATGTGACAGGTCCAACAATTGCACATATTACTTGGGAGGCTAAGTCAATGATTTTGTACAAAAGTTTCTGAGTCCCAAATAAGCATAGGAGAAAAGGCAACAAAAAGAACAAAAATAAATTGTTCTATTTTCAAGTTTCAACAATATATATAAAAAATTCTGCAAAAGAGGAGCCTAAAATGGTACCAACAATGTTACAAAATAGGAGTCTAGTCAAAACTAACTTTTACAATTCTTTTATCTTTCTATGCTTTTGCCGGAAGGGGCTTGCCTCGTGCATTGAGCCTTTTGTAATTATCACCTTCAACAACTTATTTTCTTTAAGCAAATGAAATGATCAACTTTTGGAGTTTTATGACCAAACTTCCAACTTGAGTATTTTATGATTTCTTTGTACTCCATGTATAGAACAATTTGATCTATTAATCATCGTTTGCTTGTATATTTTGCCAAGATGTTTAGGGAGCTTATCTGGCACATTGATTATCAACTAATAGTTCAATCATTTGCTTCCCAGCAATCTGTCTAGTTTGATGCAAAGAGGAGGTACTCAATCTATGATCATGGAGATTCTAAGCGAGGTTAGTGTTGAAAGGATGAAGTAATTTGCTACTTTTCAATCTCATTATCTCAGTCAATAGTCATCCACAAGTCTACTGAGTATGTGTTCCAGTAACAAGATGAAATTCCCAATTGGCACAGATTTGATCACTCAATGTTTTGATGAGGTTAACTTAATACTGCAAGCACTTTTAAACACTACATATCCAAAAGCCACTTATTGTGTTCCTACTTCTCCAAATGCTCCACTTCAGCATAGACATGTGGAAAACCTTCTTTTATCACTTGGTTCCTTTTTGAATTGTTTACATCATCATGGTTAAGCTGCATGTCGAAGAAAATGCAATGCCTTATCCTCCATACAATCAAATGTAATATGAAACAAGTCAAACAACTTCTTTTTTTTAATTGATGGTATTACAAATCCCAAAATAACTAAGTCTATTAAAGCTACTGATAGCAAAATACAGTTCCAATCTAGGTAAAACCATAAAATCATCAAGAAACTAAAAAAAAAACAATTAAGTCTCTTGATATAGCTAATGGGGAAAAGATCTATTATCCAATGAAAGACCAAGAAATCTGAAGTTGAAGCAAGACAATATGAAAGTACAGATACACATGGAACATATTTAACAGTTAACCAAAGATGTTCATTGGCAGACCAGATAGCGCCATGATTGTGAACGATGAGGCAAACAAGTAAGCCCAATGCGCTGTGATAATTTGACCAATAACTTCCGAAGCAAAGGACTGCGAGATGAAGTAGTAGACCTCATCAGGAGGGAACAATCCATCCAAGTGGTAGAAATCACACTAAGCAAAACCTTTTTACTGCCGACCTGTATTGTGGAACTCAAAGAAAGAACAGCTACAGCTCTTTAGTAGGCTGATAAAGAACAAAAATTAAATTAAATATAATTCTTGACGTCATTGCATGATCCGAAAAAAGAACAGAACGAAAGTGAACCAACAAATTTAAGTAACTGAACATGTATAGCATAAATCCAATACTCATGTTTGTTATCCTGTTATGTACTAAATACACCCAGTACATATCGGCCTGTTTGGAGCTTAACAGCACATGCACCATTTATACCAATCAAAACACTCTGCTTTCAACCTACCAAGGGGAGACTCACTATGCTCCTGCTACTGTGGGATGAGGAACATCAATGTATGTAGCTTTACCCAACAAGCAAAGAAGTCGATTCTGTGAGTTGAACCTTCAACACCCAAGTCACAAAAGGATAAACATATTGTGACAGTGACACTAAGGCTTGCCCTCTCACTAAAGCACTATTTTCAACTTGTTGAATAGAAAATCATGCTCTTCAGCTGTTTTTATCTATGTATCAACCAATCATTTAAATATTTATGTCTATAATATGTTTTTGGAGGTGTGCTATTTAGGTTTATATCCAATCTTTAAATTTCTCTGCAACCCAAGACACTATCAATTTCCCTTCTTGATAAATTTTTCCACTTGCAGTTATTTTTTATGTCAGTCAATTGTATGTTAGATTTTTGAAAAAACTACAAAGCTTAATCTATTTCTTTACATGTGTTGCACATGAAGAGAACTAGTTTTGACGCTAAAAATGTTGAATAAATAAAAAATCCACAAAAAGTTACTAGGTGAAGACTGATTGTGTACTATAAAAGAGTTTGCTGCCACTTTCTGTCACTATCTTTCTTATGCCCATCAAGAAAGAAAGGAAAAGAAAAAGAAGTGCGGAGTTGGAATAGATTAGTACATTAGATCTAGTGCTTAACCTTTGTAAGTAAAGAGCTTGTGTTAACCAGAATATACCATAACCACAGGACAATGTAGTCCAAAGTTCCCATTAACATGGTGTCAGTTCTGTAACAAGTGAAAAATGCATCAATTGATAAATCTAGACTGGGTAGGTATGGATACCATGGAATTCTGCAAAAACATAAATTATTCTAAAGAGTAAACACCACCTAGGAAATCAAAATCCAAAAGCAAATCTTCAGATTTCAGTTTCAAGCATCATGTTAGAAAATTGCAGCATCTTGTTTCAACTTTCAAGAAAAGGAAATCTAAATAGACATACCTTGAATATAGAGGAAAGGGCTTCAACAAAACCAAGTAGCTTGAAGTGGTCCACAACATCTTCTGTCACAGATAACAGGACTTCATGAGCCCACTCAGTGAATCTGATAGATAATCAAGATTGAGAAGTAAGGGCATAAATCTTGTTGGCATATGACAAGAGAAAAAAGGATCTTTTGGCTTTGAATTGAAAAATACCAAAAAAAAAAAAAAGGTCCATTAAGTCCCAAAAAATCAGAAAAACAAATACAAATGCAAACATCAATACTTTAATCAACTCATATATTATATACTGAATTTCTAAACTTTTGGGAAGAGAACTCCAAATAGTGCAAGCAATCAATACGTACTAAAATTGTGAGTTTGCATTGTTTACTATCAATATTCACCTGGTGCCAAGCAGCAAGTTCTAAACATTGATAAAATTGTGAATCCATTTTGCACATCTTATCATCTTGTTATGTCATTAGTAAAAGAATAGAACGAAGACTTCCGATGCTTCATGTTTGTTATCCAATTTCATCATGTCCTTTTTAATGTTATTCTTCTTTTAGCATCATGGAATCACCTAAATGAAGCCAATCTAACGATTCAAGATTTCAATTTCTGATAGGTGAACTTTCTTTGTACCTATCAGAAGAAATTTCACTTGTGTCCAAAAAGAAGAAATTTCTTTTCTTTCAGGAAGGCTTCATTTACCAACGAAGCTGCATCAATTTAAGTGGTATAACATGTACACAAACCTGCTAAACGCAATTGTCATGTCTGGACGAGTTAAAAGCCTCGCAAGCAACAGTCCAGCCATCCTACGCATAGGACCAGCACTCGAAAGGTAATCCTTGGAAATCTCCAATATTCTCATGACCAACGGTGACGGCTCGGATCCACACATATTATCTATATTCACGGCGCTTGTGTCCACCGACAAGATATCAAAAGGGATTAAAACAAGTATATATAGCCAGATGAGAACAACGCACTTGGTCTCCATCTCGCCAGTGCTTTCCTGCCGCAGTGATGTCGCTGACGTAGTTTGGTGACACATTACAAGAAGATCGACCGCCAGTTCAAGATCCGAAACCTGGTGCGGGAAGAACTTAACGACACTCTTGTAACCGCATACAGTAACGAGCGAGTATATAATTATACACAAGGGCTTGATGATTTCGAGGGCTTCATCCGAGGAATCCCTGAGCTGCATGGCTTTGCAGCGAACAATCGACATTAGAGGCGTAATTATACTTTCCAGGTAGGGTTCTAGCAATTGACCCTGTTCTTGATACTTGTCCATCTGATAAATCAAATGAAGAGAGAAGAGATTTCGATCAACACCAAATCGTCCATTAACTAATATCGGACAAAGATTCACCAAATCCTTTCAAGATCAGGGCCGATTCTTGAGTCAAGAAGCAAGATCTCGTGCGGAAGGAGGAGGAAGCTTACAATGGACCGGATCTTGTGGACATCGGTGGGCGAGGAGACGCCGCCACCGGCGACGATGCGGTCGAGAAGGGACTTGACGAGCTCCCATTCCAGGAGGAAGTAACGGAGGAGGACCGCCTCTTTGTTGCCGTGCTCGTCGTCTTCTTTGGGGTCCAAATCCACCGCGTCGGCGACGGAGGCAGCGACAGCGGTCTCGGCAGAGTCGGCCATGGGCGATCGAGAAGTGGGTGGGCGAGTTCGCCTCGTCTCGATACTGGCGGTTGAGTGAGAACCCTCGCGGCCTATATAATTGAATCTTGATTTCTTCTTCCCCTTTTTGTTTTGCATAAATGGCTGTCTCATAATTATTTTAAATGCTGGCGAGTTCATTTATAAAAATATTAAATGTTAACCAAGTTGTTATATATTGATATTCTAAATATACAAAATAATTGATTTAGGGGAGTATAAAGGGTATGCATGGGCCAGAGTTGGGCCGGCTCTGGCCTCTAGCTAGTTGGGTCAGAGGCCGAACCATATGAGCCGACTTCTTTAGGCCTTTTTCCAGCCCAACTACTGTGGCTTAATGTCTACGGAACGAACCTTGGCCCACGAAGACAAGCATCGGAAGCCCATCGGTTCGCCTTCGGGCCTGCGGCTGCCGAACATTCCAGAACCAGGAAGAACGCCCTTCCCACGACTTCATAAGCCCCTTTTGTTCTCGGTCTCATCCCTCCGCCTTCGATATTACATAGGCACATCGGGAGCCGCCACTCTCTTCGTTCCCCCTTCCATGGCCGAGGACGCGAAAGCCAAGGGCAACGCGGCCTTTGCCGCCGGCCGCTTCGACGAAGCTGTCCGCCACTTCTCTGAGGCCATCGACCTCGCCCCCGCCAACCACGTCCTCTACTCCAACCGCTCCGCCGCCTACGCCTCCCTCCAGCGCTACGATGCCGCCCTCGCCGACGCCCGCAAGACCGTCGAGCTCAAGCCTGATTGGGCCAAGGGCTACGGCCGCCTCGGAGCGGCCCACCTCGGTCTCAGCGACGCCGAGCAGGCTGTCGCCGCCTACGAGAAGGGCCTCGAGCTCGATCCCGCCAACCAGGCGCTCAAGGCCGGTCTCGCTGATGCCCGCACTGCCGCCTCTCGTTCTCGGGGTCCCCCGCCGCAGGGAGCTTCTCCTTTCGGCAAGATCTTTCAGGGGCCGGAGTTGTGGGCGAAGCTGACGGCGGATCCGACTACCAGGAGCTACCTGCAACAACCGGATTTTGTCAAGATGATCCAGGACATCCAGAAGAACCCTAACAACATCAACATGTATCTCTCGGATCCGAGGATGATGCAGGTGATTGGGGTTCTTCTCAATGTCAAGATGAGGGCACCCACGGATGAGATGGCGAGTGAATCTCCCGAGTCAGAGCAGGCGAAGCCCCAGCAGGAGCCAGCAAAGAAGGCACCAGAACCGGAGCCGGAGCCAGAGCCCATGGAGGTGGCCGAAGAGGAAACCGGGGCTAAGAGGAGGAAGGCCGAGGCACTGAAGGAGAAGGAATTAGGGAATGCTGCTTACAAGAAAAAAGACTTTGAGACGGCGATTCAGCATTATACTCTAGCAATGGAGCTTGACGATGGGGACATTTCTTACCTCACTAACAGAGCTGCTGTTTACTTGGAGATGGGAAAGGTGATATCTTGGACCTCGTATAAGCTTAATTCAGTTGTTTGTTTACTTTTTCAGAAAATGATGAAATTGCGGATCTAATTTTATATGCTTTGCAGATTACTTTGTTCTGTTAGATGGTTTTTATCTTGGCACATAAGATTGTGCACAAAATTTGCTGTTGGCACTAGACTTGGTTATTGACTTTTGACATCTGAATATTGAAGTGATTGTTGCTCTGTACTTGCTGCTGATTGAGAGCATGAAAGTTAGAAGCCATGCTTTTATAGACTAAAATAATTTCTGTGCATTGCACTATAGATAAATTGAAACTTTTTCTGACTGAATATACACACAGGTCAAAAATTTAAAAGTAGTGACCAGCAGATTCATTTCTTTGGTGCAAGTGATTAACTCCAACCTTAATCGAGGAGGATGGATGTTGGTACAGTTCAATTTCAGTGGAATAATTATCTTGTATCTTGAAGCATTTGGACCCGTATTAAAGCACTCAAGTCTTTTTTTTTTTTACTTAGAGACATTGAAGCATTTATGGTGTTGGTTATCATACTGAATGCTATGGTGTTGGGCTTCATAGAGAATAAACAACAAAACTTAGGAGCTTCATTTTCAAATTCTCGATCATTGTGATGTGTGCCATGAAGATGTGCAGTCACCCTACTTTCTACGTTACCAATTTAACATTAGTTGGTTGTGCTTGAGGTTCTGTTTTCAAATGATATGGACATAGGGGTTTGCTGTTGTTGATGTTATTGGGTTGGCTTCATACAACTCTTTGTGGTTTGTTTTAATCATATGATTGATTTTGCATGGTATATATGGTATGGAAAAGCTTTGGCATCAAAAATTGGTTTCTAGCTTGCTTTGAGTTATTCCTATCATCTTTATGGTAACAACAACGGTGAATATAACATATCTATATGGCTTGTCATTGTTTCCAAACTCCAACTTTCAAAGGTTTATTAGTTGTTTAGAAGGATTACTGGCATTCCTTCTCTTATCATTGTTCCTCTTATATTCTGTGTGCAGTAGTTTAGTTGTACGCCTTAATTTGGTCTAATCAGTTCTACTTCTTGTTGTTGAACGTTTGAGATGACACGCAAGAAATTCAGAAAAGCTTTAGTACTGACTTATTCTTGAATTGATGAGCACTGTCAATGGTGTCTTTGTACAGTGTCAAATATTAGAGCGTTGTCTGGACATTTGTTAGACTGTGTCCTTTTTTCTCCTTTCCATTTCAACTGAGACTTTTCATAATGCATTGAGATGTTTCAAAACCTTAATGTTTCTTATTTCAATTTTGCAGAGTGGTAGACCAACTTGTATTGTTCTTACATGTAGTAAATGCTAACAATTTTATATTGACTTGCAGTACCAAGAATGTATAAAGGATTGTGATAAAGCTGTTGAACGAGGCAGAGAGCTTCATTCCGACTTCAAAATGATTGCAAGAGCATTGACCAGGAAAGGTACTGCACTTGTGAAGCTTGCCAAATGCTCCAAGGACTATGAACCTGCTATTGAGACTTTCCAAAAAGCCCTAACTGAGCACCGTAACCCTGACACTTTGAAAAAGCTCAATGATGCTGAGAGGGCAAAGAAAGAATTAGAGCAACAAGAATACTTTGATCCAAAAATAGCTGATGAGGAACGTGAGAAAGGTATTTGTTTTCCATTCTTTACTTTTTTTATGATTAGCCCTTTTAATAGGTTCTCTAAGAAATACATCTTCTGAGGTTTACTTATGGTGCATTCTTGCTTCTTGATAGTGTGATTATTTTGTTGGTATTAATTATAAACTATTTACACAGAAATATGCTAAGTTGTCTTACCTTGGTATGTTTTTTGTTTATATTTATATACTTGACCATATTACTTTGTTGCCTTGATCAAGTATTGAATTTGTGATGGTCTCGGAGTTCTTGAAGAATGATTTAGAGGGCAACTTCATCATTCTTTCATCCATTTGTATCTATCTGAAATCTCTTATATGTATTGTTGGTTATCTATGACACATCTTTGAATTCCTTGACTGATCATTGGATAGTTGCCTTATAGTTATTGGAAATGTTCTAATACTTGTCAATTTATTTACATCTGAACTGAAAATGATCAGTCATCCTTACCTAGTCATAAGTAACATACTTTGGTGTAACAAAGTCGACATGGAGTTACAGAATCACAAATAACCTATCTTTATCCATTAATAGAATTGCCTGTCTAAACAAAGTAAGAAATAGTTACGTTAGAACTTTTAGGATATCTAAATTTACATTTGTTTTCTGTTATGAAAAGATGCAGTTTTTGTCTGTGTTAGTGTGTTTCTTTGAAAATCTGCCATATATTTGTTGAATTTCCTTCTCCACTTTCACTCTTTCGTGTCCATAAAGAGTCTTTCCATATCTTTCAGTGGCTTTGTTTTCCAGCTTCAAGTAACATTACCCAACCCATGGCTATTGTGACATGGCATATATTCTAATGAAGTTACTCGTTACCTGTGTGGCATTAGGAATGATGCAGATGTTTTCAGTTTATCTTTTACATATAAAAATCATTGGTGACGTTTATTTTCCAAAAATGACAGTTACATGGTTAAATATCTATGCAGGCAATGAGCTTTTCAAGCAGCAAAAGTATCCAGAAGCAGTACAACATTATACTGAAGCTCTAAAGAGGAACCCAAAGGATCCAAAGGTACTTTTTCCTACTCACATTGTTTGCTTGACGATGGGCATAGAAAATAATAAACTTGCATAGTAGTTCGAAGTTAGAAATGCTGATATGCCTTTTTCTTTTAGGCATTTGACATATCTCTATCATCCAGTGAAAAGAGCAGCAGCTATTGTATCTTAACATGGCGTTATTTAATGTTCGTCTCCCATGTTATGTTAACCATGTCAAGTAGCTTGCAAAGCATGATTTCTCTACTTAATTTAAGTGAAGTATCCTCTCCAAAGTTATTCTACCATGGGTCTCACTTATTGCCTACTAAGCTGGCTTCATGAAGACTGCAATTCTTTGTTTCTGTTTGCATCAATTTGTCCGGCCGATGGAGTTTGCATCAATTTATTGGATTTTGAAAAAAAATTCTTGTTTATTTTTAATATATGTTATTCTGATTGACATTTGAAATATGGTACTTCCAAAGGTATACAGCAATAGAGCTGCATGCTACACAAAGCTGGGTGCTTTGCCCGAAGGTCTAAAGGATGCAGAGAAGTGCATCGACCTGGATCCGTCCTTTTCCAAAGGATACACAAGGAAAGGTGCGGTCCAATTTTTCATGAAAGAATATGACAAGGCATTAGAAACATATCAGGAGGGCTTGAAACACGACCCAAACAATCAGGAGTTAATGGATGGTGTCAGGAGGTAACTAAAATGAGAAAGCTTTAATATAGACAACTGGCCTCTTGGAGTTGCTTGATATAATAAATATGTTCTATTTCACTGGATGCAGTTGCATTGAACAGATCAATAAGACAAACAGAGGGGACATTAGTCCAGAGGAGTTAAAAGAGAGACAGGTTAGCATACCATCATCTTCATGTTCATTACTCTTTGATGTTCTTGTGGAATATATTGTTCACTTTGTTGT